TGATGCTGCTGCTGATGATGATGCCGATGACGATGACGACGATGATGATGATGATGACGATGATGATGATGATGATGCTGCTGAGGATGATGATGAGGATGATGCTGATGCTTATGATGATGCTGATGCTGAAGATGATGATACTGCTGCTGCTGATGATGATGATGCTGATGCTGATGATGCTGATGATGCTGATGATGCTGATGCTGATGATGATGAGGATGATGATGATGATGATGATGATGATGATGATGATGATGATGATGATGATGATGATGATGATGATGATGATGATGATGATGATGATGATGATGATGATGATGTTGATGATGATGATGATGATGATGAGGAGCAGGGGGAGGAGGAGGAGAAGGAAGAGGAGGAGAAGGTGGAAGAGGAGGAGGAGGAGGAGGAGGAGGAGGAAGATAAGGGTTAGGAGGAGGAGGAAGAGGAGGAGGAGGAAGAGGAGGAGAGAGGAGGAGAAGGAGGAGGAGGAGGAGGAAAATGAGGAGGAGGAGGAGGAGGAGGAGGAGGAGGAGGAGGAGGAAGAAGAGGAAAGAGGAGGATGGTGAGACTCGAAGCTCTTGGAGCGCTTTTGGGTTTCTTTGCCCCCCCCGCCTGGCGAGGTATCTCGTCGCCACGGTTGGCTCCGCCTCGAGGTTCTGGTCAGGGTGCGACTCGCGACAGGTCGGGATGCGATCTGTTTCTCGGGGGGGAGGGCGGGAGTCACGTACGCAAGGGATGGAGGCCCAGAGTCAGGCGTTCGCAAACATGGATCAAGGAGGCGTGGATTAGCGACGGGTCCTGTTTCCATGGGAAGTCGCGGATTTCCGCTGCCGCATGAGGCGGCGCCGGCCGCATTTTGGGGAGGGCGCCGCCCCCGATCCATGTTTGCGCGCCTCCGACAGGGGGGTGGTCGGGGAGGGTTGGATCCTGGCCTCCCAGACGGGGGGTCCGAGTAGGTGGGGTCGGGGGACCGCGCTGCATGGCCGATGCATCGGCGATGCGGCTCGGTGTGGGGCCCGATTTTCTCGACGCCGACATCGGCGATGCATCGCCGACGTCCCTGATGCATCGGCGATGCATCGCCGATGCGGCGCGATCCTCAGACCCGATCTACTTGGACCTCATCAAGGAGCCCTCGCATGGAGGGAGGGAGGGGCACACTCCGATGCGCCCTCGGGAGGCCTGAGGTCCGAGGCGGGAATTTGTACTTGACCACCGCCTGGAGGACCAATTCTTTACGCATCGCGTATCCCCACCAGCCCATCTCACAGCAGCAACTCTCGCGAAGCATGCCGACAGTCGTGTTTTTCAGGCGTGTGTCCGCTTGGCCCCGCATATCTCCCCTGTTCCTCCTTCCCCCCGCCTCCTCGTACATCCTCCTTGTGGGGGGAGCGGGAGAAGGACGAGGCGGAGGAGGAGGGAGAGAAAGCGCTCCTCGTGGTTTGAGTCGTTGGGGTTTCTCGTCCTGGTGTGAGTCGTTCGGGCCCTTCTTCCTGGTGTGAGTCGTTCGGGCTCTTCGTGGTGTGAGTCGTTCGGGCTCTTCGTCCTGGTGTGAGTCGTTCGGGCTTCTCGTGGTGTGAGTTGTTCGGGCCCCTCATCCTGGTGTGAGTCGTTCGGGCCCCTCCTCCTGGTGTGACTCGTTCGGGCTCCTCGTGGTGTGAGTCGTTCGGGGCCCGCGTCGTGGTGTGAGTCGTTCGGGCTCCTCGTGGTGTGAGTCGTTCGGGCGCCTCGTCCTGGTGTGAGTCGTTCGGGCCCCTCCTTGTGGTGTGAGTCGTTCGGGCTCTTCGTGTGTGAGTCGTTTCGGGCCCCTCGCTCCTGGTGTGAGTCGTTCGGGTTCCTTCGTGGGGGCCTCTTGGGGGCCTCTGGAGCCTCTTGGGGGGGCCTCTTGGGGGCCCTGGTCTTGGGGGGGGCCTCTTGAGGCCTCTTGGGGGCCTCTTGGGGGCCTCTTGGGGGCCTCTTTGGGCCGCTTGGGGGCCTCTGGGGGGCCTCTTGGAGGCGTCTTGGGAGCCTCCTGGGGGCCCCTTGGGGCCATCTTGGGGCCTCTTGCGACCTCCTCAGAAGCGCAAAGGAGAGCTGCCCCCTGAAAAGGACAAATTGAGCCCAAAACCTTCGTAACATCAATGATTTTGCTATGAGGGAAGATGAGCGCGGCCCCCTCAGGACGCCAAAATGGGGCCAACACCGTAGTAAAATAAATGATTTCGGCTTCGAAGAAGAGCAGAGGGGCCAAACTCCCTCCCCCCGTCGGGGCCAGAATCCCCGTGAGGGTCGTCGTTTTTTGACCCTCCCAGGAGTCGAAATTGACCCCCCTGACGACCCGCCGGGGTCCCTCTCCAGGTCCAGGGGCAGGGGGTAGGGGGAGGGGTAAACCCCTCCCCGAAGGGGAAGAAGGGGGGTTGAGGACAGAGAGAGCTCGCTAAACCACTCACGCCCAAAGGGCTGGTGGGATTTCCGGGGGCCTCGGCAGGCGGTGGATACGGATGGATTCGGGCCCCCCGGGGGCCAACATATATAGGGGAACAAAAAGTGACATAAACAAAAACTCGGAGGTCCGCGCGGATTTCTCGGATCGGCGCGGGACCCCCCTCCCTGGCGCGCCAGCGCCGATCCGAGAAATCCTCGCGGACCTCCGAGTTTTTATGTTTATGTTTCTTTTTGTCCCCCCAATATATCCACATCCGCATCTCGCTGGGGGGCATCACGACGCCGGCCCCCAGGCGGTGGATGTGGATATCGATCCCCGCCTCGCACGAGGGGCCCCTGGGGGGTCCAGCTCGGTTTTCAGGCCTCCGCACGGGCACCAGCGCGCGGGGCGGAGCGGAGCGAGTCTCCCTCAGGAGGGAAAAAAACACACAGACACAATTAATCGTCGATCCCCAAGAAGATATGGGAAAATATGGGAAGTGGGGGGAAGACAGATACCCAGAAGATATAGGGAAATATGGGGAATCTTTTTATTTGTGTGTATTTATTTGTGTGTCCTGGGGCCCCTTCACTCCCGGCGCACGCGCCAATGCTGGCCCCGGCAGTCCAGCACCGCGTGTGCGGGGGGGCGGCTGCCTCGTCCGCGTCGGCGTGCTCTGCCCTCCCCCTCCTTTTCCTCCTCCTCCTCCTCCTCCTTGCCCTCGTCCTTTGCCCTCGTCCTTTGCCCTCCCTCTGCGCGGTCGCCCTCGTCCTTTCTGCCGCTCTTGCCTACCTGCCCATGAGCCATCGGCTTGGCCCGAAAGGCCACACGCTGGAGCAGACCGCTGCTGCCTCGCCGCCGACGAACACAACGAGTGTGTGGGGGGACGACGAGGGACAGGACGACGGGGGGGGCGGGGGCCAGACTGTCAGAGAGAACCACGCGAGTTGACCCTCCTCCAAGAGGGGGTTCGGGATTATGGTTAAGTCGGGCGTGTCCTTGTGCAGGAGGATCTTTAGGGTACAACATAGTACACAGATAGTCTGAGGACGATGTATGTGCTCTTTTTTTGACTGCTTTGGGGTATTTGTTTGGACTATGCTTGCTTGTCCTGCAGAATTCGCCTGCAGGAGGACATGCCCGGCCTGAGATCATGGATGGCTTTGCCCGTCTTACGGGTGCTCCTCGCCTGGCGCGCTTCCGCCTGCTCAGCGAGAGTGGAAGGGACCTTCGATAGCCCGTTGCAAAGGAGTAGAACATTCCGAATCGAGGGAGGAACGATGAGCAATCAGAAGAACGGGAGAAGTGGGGTCGAGGATGAGTAGGTGCCCCGGGCAGGTGAGGGTGATGGTGACGACCGACGCTTCCTGAAGACGAGGGCGAGGACCTTTCGCGGAGGTTGGAGGAAGGAGCAGCGACCCCGCCATTGGCGGGCGACCCCTCAGCGAGGAGTTCCACGGTGCCCCACAGGACAAGACATTGGAGATGTCTCGAGCGGGAGGCCGCCAACAGGGGTTGGGGGAGGGCCACCCCGCCGGGAGGATGCCCCCGGGCTCCTCGCGCGGGTTCTTCAGGCAACCGCAAACATGGATCAGGGGGGCGTGGCTTTGCGACGGGTCCCATATCCATGGGAACTTGCGGATCTCCGCCGCCGAATGGGGCGGCACTGGCCGCATTCCGGGGAGGGCCCCCCCCCCGCGCTCCGTGGACGTGGCGACGGCGCGCCATATCCGTGTGTACATCGCTGATCCATGTTGGCGTGCCCCCGAGCCCTCTGGTGGCGGCGCCGATCTTCTCCGGGCTCCGTCCCCCTCCTCCTCCTCCTCCTCCTCCTCCTCCTCCTCCTCCTCCTCCTCCTTAATCCTCCTCCTCCTCAATCTTCCTCCTCAATCCTCCTCCTCCTCCTCCTCCTCCTCCCTCCTCCTCCTCCTCCTCCCCTTGCTCCTCCTCCTCCTCCTCCCCGCCTCCGCCTCCGCCCCCTCCTTCCTCCTCCTCCCTCCTCCTCCTCCTCCTCCTCCTCCCCCCTGCTCCTCCTCCTCCTCCTCCTCCGCCTCCGCCTCCGCCTCCTCCTTCCTCCTCCTCCTCACTCCTCCTCCTCCTCCTCCTCCTCCTCCTCCTCCTCCTCCTCCTCCTCCTCCTCCTCCTCCCCCTCCTCCCCCTCCTCCTCCGCTGCTCGTCGGGGGCAGGACGAGGGCGAGACTCTCGAGGCTCTCGGGGGCGTCTCTCGCGCCGCCCCCCCCCGGGGGAGGCCCTGCGCCACCCGCCCGCGGCGCGGGCCCCCCCCCCGCGGCGGCCTCTGCGCCCCCCTTCCCTGGGGCGGGGCGGGCTGCCGGCCCCGAGCGCCGTGGGTAGGGGGCCGTGGGTAGGGCTTCACTTCGCTCGGGAGCTCCCGAGCGAAGTGAAGCCCACCCTCCCCCTCAGAAGTCGTGGGGGCCAGGGGGTAGGATTCGCATCTGGCCCCCTACCTGCGGCCCCCCTCCCCCCCCTGGGGCGGGGCGGGCTGCCGGCCCCGAAGCGCCGTGAGAGCTGTGCCCCGAGCGCCGGTCCCGCGGCCCGTGCGAGGGGGGGGCCCGCGGAGGGCTCGAGGCAGGGGGTTCGAGTCAAGTCGGGCCTGTCCCTCTACAGGGGGAGTGTTCAGAAAGAGTTCCAAAATGGTCGGGGGATTGTGTTTGGAGCATCTGTTTACCATATTTTTTTTGGCGTAGTCAAAAATAATCAAACAATAGTCGGGGGACTATTGCGAAGGCCTTACGGCCGGTGCCGCCGACCCTGAATGGCGACGACGACGACGACGACGGCGACGACGACGACGACGAGCGCTCTTGGGGGCCTCTTGGGGGTAGTTTGTGGGCCTCTTGGGAAGCTCTTAGGGGCCGCTTGAAAGCCTCGTGGGGGCCTCTTGGGGCTTCCTGGGGGTCTCTTGGAGGGGGCCTGGGACGTCTTGGAGGCTTCTTGGACGGTCTTGGGGCTATCTTGGGAGCATTTTTTTGTGTATTATCATTTTTTGCCGAAATCCCCCTGTAGGGGGACACGCCCGATTGAAGGCTCGAGCAGGGGGGCGACTGCATCCGAGGCCCGAAGACCGTCCCGTCACCAGTTTTGGGCCCCAGGGCGCGCTGAGGCCCCGAGGGCCCCCGATCAGCGAGTGTTTTTTGGTTGTTAAAAAATGAAAAAGAGAGAACATACTATATATATAGACTTTATATATATTTGAAACAAAATCAATAAAAAAAAAAAATCCCCCCACGCAAGGACGTCGAAATTCATCACTTCAGTAAGCCGAGCCCAGGACGAGAGTCAGGGGCCGAGTTGCTGCCGTGATGCAGCACAGGTCTCGTATTCGAGGCAGGGGGTTCGAGTCGGGGATCGACTGAAGGGTCCGGCTCGAATAAGGAGCACTTACTTTTCAACAGGGGCTCGGTCGTTCTTTGGGTCTGCATGCGTTCCGCTGCCTCTTTGGCGGCGAGCCCTGCTGGTGGTGCCTCGGACTTCGTAGACTTACGCGGGAAAGAGAGGCTTCGTTCCTTATTTATTGTTCCTCAGGTCAGGCCGAATACTGTACATACATTGGTTTGCCCTGGACTCAAGTTTGCGTCGAGTTTGCGAGAGATGCATAAGATGCTCAGTAGGTGTAAGGAGTATGCGACCTGTTAGCAATGCATTCCACGGAAGCATCAAGTCTGGGGTGAGTCGAATGTGCAGTCGATCCCCCCAGTCGCAAGAACGAGATCGGTTCGGGGAGGATGCTCTTGTGTATCCTGGGTGAGGGCACCTTCGAAAGTTCTCCAGTTTGGTCGGCGGAGGGTCTCAGGTTCTGGAATGATGTTCTTCTGTCTTGTGTCCGGCCGCACCCGAGGGCGCACCCTCGGGTCGGCCCCCCGCTTCGAGAGGGTCTGGGTACCCTGGCATCTGCCGCTGCGACAAACATGCAGCACCGCAAAACAAACATCGCGACCGGAGCCGAAGTCCCGATCCTCCTGCGCCATTTTTCGAGCCAGGCTGATCCGAGAGGGCTCCGGGGGCCGACGCCAGGCAGGAGCGCTCATTGTGAGATGACTGCAGCGCCTGGATCTGAGGTCCGTCTCATGCGACCTATCCCCATCCCCGCCCGGCCATGGCATCTCGGACCCCCCATCCCACCACCCCGGGTCGGTTGGGGACGGGCCCCTCGAAGCTCGAGGGGAGCGGCCCGCATCCCCATCCAGGGGGGTACGCCGGCCAGCGAGGCCTGGGCCACGCCGGTGGGGACAGGGATCGGCCACGTGATGCGCATGGCCCGTGGCAGCTTCCCTCCTGCGGACGGTCGACGGCGGCGAGGGCGACGGGGGAGCCGGCGACGCGGCGGCGCCCTGCCGCGAGGGGGGCGGCGGCGCCGCCCCGCAGGAGGCCTTCGCGTGCTGGGCCCGCGCCTCCCCGGCCGAGGGGGACGAGGACCCCTCGCCCGCGAACGCGGCGTCCGCTCCCGGCCGCCTCCACATTCTCCTATTCCTCCTCTCCTCCTCCCTTTCGTACATCCTGCTTCCTCCCGTCTCCACCCCCTTCTCCTCCTCCTCCTCCTCCTCCTCCTCCTCCTCCCCTCCTCCTCCTCCTCCTCCTCCTCCTCCTCCTCCTCCTCCTCCTCTCCCCCCGCGCTCCCTGCTGTCTCATCCCGAACCTCATCCTGCTGCTCCATGCATCGCATCCCCTCTCCTCCTCCGCCTCTTTCTCCTCCTCCACCTCGTCGTCCTTCTCCTCCTCCTCCTCCTCCTCCTCCTCCTCCTCCTCATCCTCCTCCTCCTCCTCCTGGAGCGATCGCCGCGGGCGTGATCCTTCCATGAGCGACGGGGCCCCCTCAGAAGTCGAGGCAGAGGACGGCCACGCTGACGCGCCGACCTCGCCTCCCGCCGCGCCAGCGGCCGCGCCGAGGGCCCCGCGGCCGCCCGCCGCCACCCTGCCCCCTCCCCGCGCCGCCTGTGCGCTGCCCTCTGCGCTGCCCCCGCGCGCTGCAGTGCAGGCCGCCCGCCTCGCCAGGCGCCTCGCACCCTCGGCGGGGCGGGCGCCCCCGCGCGGGGGGCCGCCTCGGGGGGCCGCGGGTTGCCGCCGCGGCCGTCAGCATGGCGGCCCACGCCCCCTCGAAGGGGCCCTGCTCGGTGGTTCGAAGCTGGGGTCCCGAGGGGTGGGGCCCTGCAGGGGGCGAGGCACCAGCTGGCAGCGCGACTCCGCCCCTCTGGAACCCCTGCCTGCCCTCGGGGATTGGAATCCACTGGCCCTCTTTTCTGAAGCAGCGGTCTATCGCCTTTTCGATATCCGAGCACAGCGGCGCAACCAAACAGAGGGGATTGCCAATGCGAGCGTTCGGGGCGCACTCCAAACGCGGGCGGCACGGCTACCGAGTCGGGGACCCCCCTCCCTCTCAGAGCCCCACCTCTGGGCCAGCGACCTGCGGCACTGCTGGCCCGTCGCCTCCGCCGCCCGCAGCCGCGCCGCGCCGCTCCGCGAGCGGCGGGTGCCCCTCTGCCGCCCCCGCACGGCGAGGCTCTCGTGGTGTGCTCGCGCAGCGGCTCGAGGCACCGAGGAGAAGAAACCTCCCAACCTTCTTCGCATGGTGAAGACGTGGCCTCGCTGAAGTCCCCGTCTTCGCATTGAGAATGCTGTCTCTATCCCTCCTGTCTTGGCCCTCCTACCTTAGGCCCCACCCAAAGCGTCATAGGGGTCTCTTGTGGGTCCATCATCGAGGGGGGACGAAGGGCGGGGCGGTCGGGCTGGGCGTCCGCGTTCCCGCCGAGGCGACGACTTCGGCCTCGCTCACCGCCTCCGTCCCTGCGCTCGCGACGGCAGTGGTGCCACAGGTGCACACGAGGCCGCACCGTGGCGAGGTCCCCGCAGGCGTCGGCGTCGCGGGCACCACGGCATCAGCTCCGCTGTCCCGCGTGGCCCTGCCGCGGGCACTGCGCCGCACCCCGTCAAGCTGCCTGAGAGTGAGGCCAGCCAGCTGCGACATGGGCACGTAGAACACGTGCGTGGCCACGTTCCGCGCGGTCGCCTCGAGCCGCGAGTGCACGGCAGTGTCACCGCGGCGTCTGGCAGCTATTTTCTCCTCCAGGTAGGGCACGATGGCGTCCACCCTGCGCTGGACCTCGGGATCTTCGCTCCTGCGGGCCTGCAGCACCAGACCGAGGACGCGCTGCTCTAACACGGTCTTCTCCTCCATGAGCCTCTTCACGACGTTCTCGGCCGACCCCGCGGCCCGCATGCGTCGCTGCCGCCTGGCTGCCGCGCTGCCTACTGTTTCTCGCCACACTGGCGGAGTCGCGGGTTGCAGACCGTCTTTGGTCAAGTGCCTTTTGGAACCCGAAGCGGCGGCGGGTAGAGGGGGGAAGACACGAGGCTGATGGGCTTGTTTTCCACCACCACCACCATACATTGGAGGGGGAGGGGGTCCGCGGTCCTCCTCCTCCTCCTCCTCCTCCACCTCCTCCTCCTCATCGTCCTCCTCCTCCTCCTCCTCCTCCTCCTCCTCCTCGTCCGCCACCTCCGTCCCCCTCCAACTTATGGTGGTGGTGGTGGAAAACATGCCCATCAGAGGCAGTTTGGATACTCCCGCAGCTCATCCTCCCTGCTAGGCTCCAGCCAGGCTCTGGCGTCCTTCGCCGCTTCAACCATCTCGATGGTAAAGCTGCTGAACTTCATCACGCCATCATGTTGGAGGAAGCTCGATGTGTATGACACTGTCTTCATTTAATCCAATCGCTCGGGAACTTCCGTTCTCGATCCTCATAAGTACCTATCCACACGAAGATGCTCTCGCTGCAGTTCCTGTGGCCAGCCTGGCCTCCGTGCAGCTGCAGAACGCACCTCGCATACGGAGACGGCCGCCGGCAGACTCCGGGCTCGCATAGTCTCCACGATCCGCCCTAGCTTCCCGCGAGGCTCGAGCTCCTCGCCGAATGTCTTGGCCTCCGTGTGCCCGTTCCCCTCCGTCATCGGCCCCACGTCGGGTACAGCCAGGACTCCGGGTAAGGGGACCCGGTTTGTGGTAGGGCCCTGGGGCCCCTCAATTGGCCAGATTAATTAAACCAGGTTTTCCGTAACTGGTGTTTTTCGGGTGACGGCAGTTCGGGTTAGTGGAAATGGGACGGGGGGGCGCCCCAGTCCTGCCAACGCCCGGCCACGGCGCCCTCTCCGAAGACCGTCCCGTCGCTCCCCAGGACCCTCTCCTGCTCCTCGAGGCTCGTCGGCTCCCTGGGGCAGGTGCGCGCGCCTCTGCAGCCCTGAGGTGGGTCCTGAGGTCGCGCGGCCCGAGGCTCACGGGTCGGCGATGGGAGTTTGTCCGCTTCACGGCCGCGGTGCGCCGCCCCACCGAGCACACCCGCAGCTGCCACGCGAGGCATACCACGGCGACGCTCATGTCAAGGCCAGGGCGGCCAGCACGATCTCCACGACCGTGGCGTCGCCGTCTTTTTTGCGCTCGGGGAGCAGCGGGCGCCGCGGACAGGATGCTCGAAGCAGTCGTCGCGCTGCGGACTCCGCTCTCGCCGAAGTCGATCCACTCGCAGTCGAGCTGCTCGGATGTCTGGTTGTGCTCGATCCTCCCGATCGGGCTGCCCGATGGCCTTGCCGTGCTCGATCCAGTCCTGGTCAGAGGTTCCATTGGCACCTGTGATGTCCAGGAGCTGGAACTCTTCCATGGGGCCTCCGAACTTGAAGTAGACGAAATCATAATCGATGTGGACTTCTCGGCTTGGCGCTTCCACTGGAAAACGCGACCAAGATAGCAAGGCATCCCAGACTCTCAGTCAAGCCATCGGCCACCATGACTTCAGTTCTTGTCCACACAAGCATTGTATTCTCTCGGTGCTGTTCCCGTGTGACCTTCGGGGGGCCCTGGGAATCCTGAGGTCGAATAGATTCAGGAGGGCTTTCTTGCGCATCGGGGCAGGGGGGGATTACTTGCAGTCCGTGGGAACACACGCAGGAATCCTGAAGGATCCTCGGGGCTCTCTCGCGGAGGAGGCGGGCGGGGAAGGGGAGGCCGGGGAGACGGAGTGGGGGGGGGCGGGCGGGTTGCCAGACACCCCCCCACAAAGGCCTCGCAGCCCTCCCGCCAAGTAAGGCGGGGCCAAGAACATGTCCACTGCACTGTGTAGTGTTTTTGCCGCTCAGCGGCAAATGGCGGCCCAAGCACGGGGCATAGGTTTTTCCAACACCTGTCGCCCAGAGAGTCGCCCGGACAATTGCAGAGTGTGTACGCTGTCCTGTGGCGGTTCTGCGAAGCCACATAGGGACAGGGCCCATATAGATCTTCGTGCATCTACGCGCGGCCCTCTATCAAGGATCGAGCTTCGTTGGCTCTGGGGGTGCTTTCTTCCCTCGGGATGCTCTCCGGCAGATGCGTTTCGTCGCCCTAGAGCCCGGGGGAAGATCGAGCTTCGAGATCGAGGATCGATTTGTTTACATATACGTGTATATCTATTCACACACATATATGTATATATATATATATATATGCTCGATCGAGGATCGAGGATCAAGCGGCCCCTGATCTTCGATCGAGACTGATTTCTCGATAGAGGACGGATCTACGTTGTTTTTTCCTTGTGTGTGTGTGGTGCCAGTTCTTTCATGTTTTCCGAGCCAGGATGTATTCCAGCAGCTGCGCCTCGTCGAGAGCCTTCCTGGGTGCCCGAGCCGTCCCGAACGGCCGCCGAAAGCCCGAGTTGTGACCCGAAGCCCAGGCCTCGCTGCGAAGAGAGACGCATGACTTCTTGAGATGTTCTCTTTCTTTTTTGGGGCCTCGCGAGGCTCCTCGGGGACTCGGCTGGACCCGCTTCGGGGTGCATCGCCCCCCAGGATGGGGCCTTGGGGACTAGATTTTCGGTGGTTCGAAAATGGGGCCCTTGGATGAGACCCCAAAGGATAGGAGAGGGCAGGTTTAATCTGCAGTGCTCGACGCCTCTTCGTCTCAGGGCCAAATGTCTCCTGGACCAAGCAGTGAAGTGCCGACGTTTCTGACGTTCGGGACCCCTTCCAGTCCGCGGCAGGACCAGGATCTCGCACGGGTGCTCTCTGGCCATCTTCGCGATGTCGTCGTCGTCCTCCTCCTCCTCCTCCTCCGCCTCCTCCTCCTTCTCCGCCTCCTCCTGGCCCTTCTCTTCCTTCTCCTCTTCCTTGCCTTTCCTTTTTCTTCTCGTCATTTGCGAGCGGCGGACATGTCCGTATCCGCGCCCTCGCGGTCTGGGTTCCGCGGCGCGGTCCCGCGGGTACGTGGTCGTACGGGTACGCTCCTCGCGAGGCATCCGCGACCATAAACGCCCCGTATGCGCGGCGTCGTTGCCCAGGGGCCCGGCCCACGAGGCCGCGGGTACAGATGTGATTTTCCGCCACGAATGATTGTTCGTTTCTTCTTCCTCCTCCTTCTCTTTCTTCCTCTCCTTGCTGTTGCGGTACCGCTCTGTGCCTGCCCGTGCAGAGGACATGCGCCTGGATCAGAAAGGTCTCTGGGCAGCGCTGCGCTGGCTTGAGGCCCACCACACCATTCCCGAGGAGCTCCGCGGTGCTGCTCTCTGCGTCGCGACTCACTGCGCTTCTAGTATCAAATGGCCTTCGGCCCATCCCGCCACTGGTGCCTGGGTTCTGTCTCAGAGGACTCTCGGATGCTTCTTGGGGTTTCGTCGCCTGGGTTTTGGGTCAGAGGACTCAGGTGGTGCCGAAGGGGCACCCATCGAGTCCGACCCATCTTATCAGGTGTAGATCCTTGGGACCTGGGCTGTGGCCAGAAGCAATACGCATCAACTGGTACCCCAACGGTACCCCTTGACGGATATCGAACGACGGTTAAAGAGGAGGAAGAGAAGGCGGAAGAGGAGGAGGACGGGTAGGAGGATGAGGAGTCTCGGCCCATTAGCGGAGCTCGCTTCGCGAACGGGGGCGAAGCAGCTGGAATTCTTCGGTGTGAGGCCAAATAGCGGGGTACCGTTCCGCTTACGGGAGCGACGCAATTTTATTCCCATGGCTCGAGGCCAATTAGCGGGGGGCCACTCCGCTAATGTGGGCCGAGCAATCCAAAACCATTGGTTCGAGGCCAATGAGGGGAGCGCCGCTCTGCAGTAGTGGGCGCGACAGAACCTGGGAGGCTCTGGTTCCGAGCCCTGGACATATCCTCAGGATTGAGGCCGTAGATGCGTTAAGGGTGTGCTATCTAACGGCGACGTAGCAAAACCGATTGTAGGACTGCGTGGTCCGTGGCCAAATGAACTGTAGGAACGCGTGTTTTGTGTTTTCCTACCACTCGCTGAGTCGTTGTCCCTCGATACATTTGCATTCTTGAAACGTAGGAGACGATGTTTTTGGCGATTTTCCGCATTCTGCTCTGCGTGAGCTCGGTGCCACAAAAACCAGATTCCCAACCGCACCGCAAACCAAGCGAGCACGCCGTTGGCGCAGCCCCGGTGAGGACTGAGCGCTGGAGCAGGGGGCCAGAGGACACCTTGGCATCGCTCGGAGGTGTGCATTTTTCTCTCGGCGAGGACCATCGAGGAGCATCCTTGATCATTTGGCGAAAAAGCCACGCACGAAACCAGAAACAGCACAGGGAATGGATGTCCGAGCGATGGCCAGAGGACACGCCCTCTCCGTTCCCGAGGGCACGGTGGCAGCTCTGCCTGCTCTGCCAGAGCCGCCGCCTGCTGCGGCAGCCGGGCGCCCTGCGCGTCGGGTACTGCAGCACAGACATGAGGAGCCTGATGGGTCTCGCGTCGCACACACTACAGTCGGGGCGTTGAAGAAGGAACCCTTTTCGTTGTGGAGGGGCTCTGTGTTCCTTGATTGTTTCGCAACTTATCTCAGGTTTTCCTCATGTTTTCGATGGAAGATCAAAGTTTAACCTATTAAAAAGCAAGGGACCTCGTTCCTTATTTAGGGTTCTTTGGTCAACGCCCCGACTGTAGGGGACCCTTGAAAAGGAAGGGCAGCTCTTCACCGTTTCTGAGAGTCCTAGCCTTCGAGTATGGAACAGCCGAAGCAGTGGTTCGTCGAAACGGGCTAACGCTGCGCCAAAATCGGAACTGGAACCGAACCTTGCCCCATCGTTTCCAGAGCCCACCAACCTTTCTCAGCAACGCCGGGGCCGTGACGGAGTCCATGCGATGTGCGCGCATTCGTATCTGCTCCATTCGCTACGACGCTTCCAGCGACTGCCGCCGGCCCACCTTGGCTCCGTCATTGAGAGTTGAGGGCCTGGTGGTGGGCATGTATCGGTTGTTAGTCAGTCGGGATTTGGGGGGACCGCACGGTTTCGGGTCGTTCTCCGAAGACGTTTCTGGCGATTGGGGCATCAGAGGTCACAGACCCGTGCGGTGACCGACCGCGCGGCGAGGTCTTTCTGGATTTCGAGGTCACTGCACGGTCCGTCACCGCCCCTTTGGGGGACCCCCAAATGTACCTCCGAGTTGTCTGGGCCCGACGGGCTAGCCGTAATTGCTAGGCTCGCGATGTGTCATGTGTAAGTTGTCAGTGAGTGCGTTTTGGAGTTTTTGTTGGCTTCAGTCAGTCTCGTGTCTGAAGGCCTTTTAGAGCCCTCTTGCAAGCCTTTTGGAACCCTCTTGGATACCCTTTTCGTGGTGCACCTTTTGAAGCCTTCTTGGCGCTTTCTTGGATTCCTCATGCAGTCTGGGATTTCTATGAGTGTCCCTTTTCTGGATTTCAATGTTGTGACTCTTGGAGCGTCTTGGTATCATCGGTCGGTGCCGTTTTCTGCTGGGTTGCTGCTCAGTGTGCTATCATATTTGGCATCGTGTTGCCTGCGGCGAGTTACCGTCGCCCCTTGCCTTTCTGGAAACGCAGATGTGATCAAACATTGGGCCGAAGCTGGGCCAACCCATTGGGCTATCTTGTTCCCCGCCGCTTGAAAACCTGGGGGCCGCTCCGTGACCTCTTGGGGCCGGCTGGGGCCGGCTTGAAGCTATCTTCGGCAGTTTTCGGCATATCTTGGGCGTCATGGAGGACATCTTGGACCGTCTTGGAGGCCATGCAGGGCCATCCTGGCCGTCTTGCAGGCCATATTGGGCCATCTTAATCATCTTGGGGGTCATCTTGTGCCACCCTTTGGCGGTTTCGGTGCACTGGTGGGGGCCGCTTGCGCCGTCTTCGGGCCATCTTCGAGGCCTTCTAGGCCGTCTGAAACTAACGCTTTGTCAGCATCATTTGTTTAGTATGGATGTCTCCGATGATGCCACCATTTTTGAAGACACGGTGAATTTGGGAGCTCACTGGATATCTCCATTCCGGAATGGTTGCAGCCAGACCATTATTCTTGATGATGGGCGTCCTAATCAATGTCCTATCCTTCATTATCTCCGCTCGGTAGGGATGTCTCAGGAAGAATGCTTGTCTGTGATGCACGGTGGTGGGATCGGACGACACCTCGCTGGGATCTTTTGGGAAGGGTGCAAGCCAGCAACATGTGGTACGCCAAGATCCCCTCTCGCAGAACGGAGGTGGCGGCGGATCGAAGACGCCTACGGCGCCGCCCCCTGCCTTTGTGGAAGCGCCTATGTGGCCGAACGTTGAGGCCAGACCTGCCAAGCCATCGGACCATGTGTTCCCCGAATCGGTTTGGAAAGCCTTCGGGGAACACGTGGGCATCATGAAGGTCATCTTGGCCGTCTTGGAGGCCTCTTGGGCGATCTTTTGGCGACCTTTGGGGGCTCTTGGGCCGTCTGGGGCCGTCGGAAAGCCGAAAAGAAGAACATGTCAAAATCCGTCAAAAACTTTTGGCCTCTTTGGCCTTCCTGGAGGCCCTCTTGGGGGCCTCTTGGGCCCTTTTGGGCCAGCTTCGAGCCAACTTCGGCCATCTTGGTGGGTTCCTGGCACATCTGACGCCGTCGGGAGCCGTCTCGGGGGCCTTTCTGGGCCAACGGGGGACCCTCTTGGGGCGCTTTGGGGCCGTCTTGGAGGCCATCTTGGGCGTCTTGGAGGCCATCTGGGGCTTGTTGGAGGCCTCTTGGGCCGTCTTGGGGCCCTCTTGGGGCCATCTTGGAGGCCACTTGGGCCGTCATGGGGCCCTCTTGGGGGCCTTTTGGGCGATCTTGGGGGCCTCTTGGGCCGTCTTGAGCCGTCGGAATGTCGAGAAGAAGCAAATTCCAAAATCCTTCAAACACCGAAGGAAAATCAATGATTTTGGCCTCTTCGGGCCCTCCTGGAGGACCTCTTCGAGGCCTCTTGGGCCGTCTGGGAGGCCTCTGGGGGGCCTCTTGGGCCGTCTTTGGCTGTCTTGGACTCTCTTGGGCCGTCTTGGAGGCCGCCTTGGACCATCTTGGGCGGACTTGGAGGCCATCTTGGACCATCTTGGAGGCCATCTTGGGCCATCTTGGCCGTCTGGGAGGCCATCTCGAGCCATCTTGGAGGATTTTTTGCGGTCGTTGAGCTTGTTTCCGGGCCTTCCGCGGACCCCGGCGGGACGGGCCGGAGCCCGTTTGGGAGAGTTCTTTTTTAGAAAAAGAACCAAAACCAAAACCGACAGGATCTGACACGCCGGGCACCCCTTTGCTGAAGCGACTGGGGGCGGCGGATTTGGTGTCCTTCGGCTCATCCCGCCACCGTGCCTGGCTCGTTGGGTGAGGGGGAGGAGGAGGAGGAGGAGGAGGAGGAGGAGGAGGAGGAGGAGGAGGAGGAGGAGGAGGAGGAGCCTTTGTGCTGACTCTTTGGACCTGGTGGGCCCCCCTTGGGCCCGCCTGCCGACCGACCTTTTTTCTGTGGGGCCCCCCACGTGGGCCGCCCCGCGGCCTCCCGAGGGTACGACAGCCAGTTCCATTTTTGGAAGGGGTCGCTGTCCTCGATGAGCGGAGGCATTTTTCGCAGGTGGACAGACCTCCTGCCCTGACACGTCGAGTAAGGAAGTGGCCGTTTTCGGTTCGCGAGAGGGCGTCGCGGCCGTCATTTTTGCGGGTCCAGGTCCGTCGGTTTCGGTCCCAGGCCGTTTTCACTAAGGGGAGGTCTACGAAAGGGAGGTTTGTCCAGCGCCGAATCCGCGAGATTGCAGTCCTGCGCTGCCATCCGCAAATGCAGGCCCTCCGATTCTGGTGATACATTGCGGAGGCATCTGCATCTGCTGTCCTCAGAGAGAGAGCGGGGGCCCGAGGCCATCCGCGCTGCGATACCCGTAGCGAGGACATGTCTGTTTGCGTGACGCGCTGCATCGTGGCCCCGAGTCGTGGGATTTATTGCTGTGTCGGTGATGGTTGAGTGCGCGATTTTTGGCGTCATGGCCTACTGGGCGGCGCCCACGTGGCATCATATGTGAGGGTGGCCAGGGCGAAACGTGATGCGGACCCGCACGCGATGCTGAGCACTCCCATGGAGCTGTTCCAACCAGGCGAGCCAGTGATACTGCGTTGATGCTACGCTGGCGCTGCGTGCCATTGCTCCTGCCTCCTGATGCGTCCTACTCTTATCATCGCGTCGTGCATACGCCTCTGTTGCACGATCTCGTTCAACCTGACCTGCTTCTCACTCGGGATGCCGATGAGGCATTCGCAGACTGGAGTTTGCTGTTG